CTTCGACTCCCGCTTTTTATTTAGGGATCGGATAACATATTAAGAAAGTTAAGGAAATTCCTCATCTTTCCACATTTTTATAGAAAACTCTTCTCTAGACTGGGATTTTCCCCTGGCTAAGAGAAAAGGCTTAGAAAGCTATAGAAAAGCCTCTAAAACCCTTTTTCTTAATAGATAAAGGAAAAAGAGATGAAGAAAAAGTCATAGCATGTCTAAGAGTACAACTAATCTTCTTATCTTATTCTCTTAAATAAAAGGGTACTGTATTTAAAAGCAGAGAAAGAGGAGCCTTGTCCTTAGCTCATAAGGTTGTTATGCAACTGCATAATCACCCAAAACCTAACTCCAACATTCAAAAGAAAAAGTTTAACCCGTGACTAAGAGTTAGAGAATAATTATCTTCTAACCAACACTACATAAAGGAAATGAAGGGTTGTTCATCATCAACTTCTAGTTTAAGCCACAACATACACGATCACTTTACTTAAATAATCTACCCAGACGAAAGCCGCCAGTGTTATGGGAAGATTACCAGGTCAGGAAAGTCCTCAATTAATGAAAGACGAGAGATTATGGATATTGATTGCACCAAACATTACTGTAGAGTCTCTTACTAGATAGGGTGGAAGAATAGGAGTCTCACTAGTAGTAGTATTAAGCGGGCAGCGGTAGGGCAAGTGAAACATTCTATATTTGTCAGAATTAAGCTAAATGGCATTAGAGAAAGAAATATATTATTTTTGGGCATATCAATGGGAATAAGATCAGGCGGTGTTTGAGGTAATTCCTTCGGGTTGTGGATGCTGGTGGATCAGATTCAAATTTCTCATCATAATAATCCAATTCTCCGACACACAATATGAAATGGAAGTCATACCAAATAGAAAAAGATCCTTTCATACAACAAAGAATATTCAAACTCGTCTTCCTAACATACACTAAAATGCTAACCAGACTGGATACTACATATCCCTTTCACCAATAAGCGATTGGTAGATGGTGCTAGACCCGTCAGACTCGCTATCGACTACTCAAAAAGAAATACTAAAGCAAAATAATGGATTAAGGTGATACTAAACACTTATTCAATTTGAAGGCTTCAACCGCTGTTAGGACCGACTACTAGACTGATAGAATGGAATGATAGAGCGAGAAAGGTAGGTGGAAATTAGGACTATGATATGAAAGTTGCTGCTTTGGCTACGACTTGCTTGTCAAAGTCGGGATTGCTATTTTTATTTGAGAATGTACCTTGAAATTAAGAAGCTAGATCTTTATATTATATAAGGGAAGAAGCTCAGATCAAGATGCTCACTTATCCTTATAAACTTTTCATAGTCACAAGTAAGTATGAGGGATCCGAGATCTTTTCAAACAACAAGAACGAAACATCGGGACTTTTTCTAGTTATACTTATCTAGGAAATCTAGGCTTGCCCACCGGTAGGCTAAAAGACTTTTAGAGCTGAATTTAAGATGTTTATTACTTTCAGCATGCTTTGCTTCAAAACAGAGAAGAGTGGAAATGACTACGATAGCAATTACTCTTCTAACTTTAACACCAGAAACACATTCAATTACCTTTCTAAGAGATACTTTAATTTCTCTTCTTTGCTCCACTAGTAAGGCTCACCGATCTTCTAGCCAGGCATATAATCGATTCTTTGGCCGACTTTCGAAAAAGAACCTTTGGGTGCTGGCTTTTCACGCTTAATGATAGAGACTAGTCTGATATAATGATTCTTCTCGCTAGACGCAATTTATTTTTTAGTAAGACATTAGGAATTCATTCACTCAATTAGAAGCCACCTCTAAGGATAAAGTCTTTCATCTACAGGGTATGCACTGTGATATCATGTCTGGGACTACTAAAGTACTTTATTACTTTGTTCTACATTGAAGATTGGTAGTAATAGTAGTATTGTAAAAGTTCTTCATTACATAAAAGCTAAATTTTATCGTGTAAGTGAAGACTCTTTCCGCGCCGAAAGAGCCCCCCTACAAAGGACAGTGAGCCTCTTTCTTCTCTAAAGGAGTAGTAGGTCATGGAGGCTCTAGGCTACTTTTCCCGAAGGAACTTGTAGCAACATTTGAGAGACACTAAGAGCTCCCTCTTCTCTTGAACTTCCATAGGAGTCTGCTCGCTGTTATACTAGGCTTAGGAAAGGATGTTAACAGTGATGAGTCTCTCCTGCGTCTGCTTCAATAGGAGATGTGATAGCAGGCCTTGAATTTAGGTACGGGAAAGAGTCATACCTTACTTTATTCCGTAGAATATAATGTTAAAGGTTTCACATATGATATAACTCTTAAAGGGAGAGCGTCATTACTTTTCGGATAAGATATCTTTCTAGAGGCCAAGTCTCTTGGAGAGATAAAATTTAGTTTCTTACTCTCATTTTTTCAAAGTTATGAGATTGTGTCCTATCGAATTATGTCGATGGAAAATCCTCTAGCGTTTAAATCTTCCTCAAGAGTCCTTCAGACTCAGGAAAACCAAAGTCGAAAGAGCCTCTTATATTATAGGCCCTGCAAGACCCGTCTACCTCCTTCTTAGATAAAGGCATAGAGTAATGGCAAGATCATCCTAAGGAACTATCCATTTCTTAACTACAATTGCTCACGCGGGTCTAGGTCTATTTGACAGAAAGAGTTCTCAATCATCACAACACTTCTTCCCCGACGGCTAAAAGTAAGCCTCTAGTTAAGCTTAACGCGGGAAGCTCAACTTGGATTTAGAGAAGCCGTTAGGTTATTCTTTATTCTGGGAGAGACTTTTGATTCTTTCCTCCTCAAGTACGTTCTAGTTTCTTCCTGCAAAGGTCTTTTGTCTGCTAGGACCTTCTCGATCTCATTACAAAAGACTAAGAATGAAGCGAGGCAACTAGCCTGTCTCTACCTGGTAAGGAATTGTACGCCACCAAAAAGCACTAACCTTGTAGATAAGAATATCAAACTCGAAAATAAAGTCCTGCTTGCACCAGTCGACTACAAGGCATAGGCCATCCTACAGGCGTGGTAATATTAGCAAGAGGGTTGGACGTCTCCTCACAATCCTGTCCATATTTCATAGTGAACCTCTTTTCCACTAAGCGAGCATCAGGCCTACCTTTGTGGGTCTCTATATTATCTATGGGTATCGCAAGAATACAAATACTTTGTAACCTTGTCTTGGATTTACGCCTACAAGCAGATGCCTTTTTTTGTGTAATGGATTAATCATTCTCTTTGAGAAGTTAGTTTATGTCCTTGTAAGGATTATAGCGTCTCCAGAGATTAGAATTGCTCGAGGATTAGGCCTCTGTCATGCAGCTTGTCCAGAGAAGTCTCAGTTTAACATCTTAATGAACCAGGCCGTTAAGGATGTTGAGGGGACCCGTGAAGGTTATATTTGAAATAATGACATATGTGAATTATTTTTGTGTGTGTTGTAACCCGATGGAATGGTATTTTTTAGGAGTTCGAGAATGGGGGCTCTGGCAGTTATCTTGAAGTAATACAAATTTGTCAACTTGAAAGATGGGGCACTAGCCGCCAGAAAGGGTAAGTAAACACATTTCGAAATCGTCTTATAGAAGTTAAGGGAATCCCTTCTATATTCAATTCAACCATAGGGTATAGTATGATGGCACGACTAGTTACTTATTTTCATCCGTCTAATCAGCTTGGCCTATCGGCCCCAAAAATATCATCAAGCACTCACTCTTTCAGGATCAACGGTTAAATGTTTGCTAATGTCAGAAAGAATTAGAATACCCTTGTAATTAAAAAGGAGCATAAAGAGCTAACCTTTCCTCAGTCTCTTCCCCGACGATTCTGAGACTTCTATATGAAAACCCTCTTAAAGCTATTGAAATGCATGATCGGGCAGTCAAATAGGCATGTAGTATTGACTTTGGCTTTACTATATGATATATATCCCCACTTTCTCGCTTTTCTTTGGAGTTTTTTATTCGGGCATTAATGATTTTCGATCTGCCTTACCAATATCCATTCAAGTAGATTTAAGGGTATTCCCTTTTTTTATTATAGCATGTACATGCCCTACCTAATGGTTTTTGAACTGACCGAAATTCCTACTTAAGGAGTGGCCTTAACGGATCTATACCTCAGGACTTCTCCCTTTGTTAGAGATGCCTCTTCATTCTATTGCTCAATGGCCTATGGCTTCTAGAGTAGAGAGAATTCCTAGATCCTTTCCAGACCAGATAAATTCCTTCTATCCAGGTATGGCTTCGATTAAGAAATTATCTTCCCGACTATAAATAAAGTCTTAGGCCCTCCCTTACTCTAAGGTCAAACTCTTTATCGGTACAGAGAAGAGATAAGAACTATTGTTCGCTTGTACATATCAGTCTATTAGATATTATTTTTCCCCTAATCATGTTTCAAAAGGTCCCAATACCTACTTTAGTAATCTATCACTCTTCTTCCTTTCTTGCTATACGCAATTTATTTTTTATCCCTGGTACAAATAATGGAAGCAGTAAAGCCCGTGAAAGAAAATTAATTTTCTGTGCTGATAAAAGGGAACTTTTTTTCACTAGTTGTATTACCTGAGTGATTTTTTCAGTACTTTACCAATTTGATCTAGGGAAGACAAGTCTTTGATATCAATTTGATCAATATCTACTCATACATCTCTATGATATACTAGTATCCTCTTGGTCCCCTACTTAATCCCAAGCATAACATCTCTTTCTTGATGATGTTAAGAGTGTGTCAATCAAACCGAAAGTTGGCTTCCACCGCTACATGCTCTGTAGGAGATGGATCGGCATATTATGACTCAAACCATTCTGGACTAACCTTGTTTTTGTCGGTCCCTTGTACTTTAGTACATTAGTGCTATCTTTTGCAATGTAGAAATATTTCTAAAAAGTCTCCTCTCACGACTCTATCCTCTAGCTTAACCTTACCTAAGACAAAAGAAGAAAGAACTTCTTTAGGCCAAGCACAACTGAGTATATGTCCAAGATTTAATTATATTTGCATCCAAACATGGCAGAAGCTCCATCCACAAACACTAATCTCATATTATCTGGAAAAGTAGCCATAGTAACAGGAGGTGCTAGTGGTATCAGCGAAACCACAGTGTGTGTCTTTGCTAATGAAGGCACGCACGTGGTTGTGATTGCAGATATCCAAGACGAGCTTGGTGAACAAGTAGCTGCATCGATTGGCAAGCAAAGGTGCATCTATGTTTATTGTGACTTGACAAATGGAGATCAAGTTTGAAATCTCATTCAATCAACTGTCAATACTTATGGGCAAGTTTGTCAATATTTTTTAACAGTAATTTTAAGAACATACTAGCATATATATTCTCAAAAACTCTTCTATGGTTGAATTCAATTTTCTATGAAAACTTGTTCTTTAAAAACATCCACTTAATTTTTTTTCTTTCTATTCTCACTATAGGTAGATATAATGTTCAGCAATGCTGGAATCTTTAGCCCAACAGATCAAACAGTAATGGAACTTGATATGTCTCAACTTGACCATTTATTTGCAATCAATGTTCGAGGAATGGCATTGTGTGTGAAACATGTGGCATGTGCAATGGTTGAGGGTCACATGAGGGGAAGTATTGTGTGTATGAGAAGTATTCACGGTAGAGAGGGAGGCACAAGATCAACCGATTACACAATGTCAAAGCATGCAGTGTTGGGGCTACTGTGTGCTGCCAGCGTGCAACCGACAACACACGGAATAAGAGTGAATTGTGTGTCGCCAAATGGACTGGCGACACCTTTGACTTATAATTTGTGTAATTTTTATTATAGTCAATACACTTTAAATCACGTGGACATTGTTTTCCTATTCATCGCATTTTACATGTTATGTTCTTTTTCCTTATATTCGTCGATTAAATCTAATATCACTATTACAAAAAGTATGTATAACAACGCCCATGTTATCATGGTCATTTGAAGGACCGTGGTGATGTCTCTAAATTTAGACATCAATATTTTTTGTATAGAAATTGTTAACATATTACCACAGTTGTTTAAAACAACTCTGGTGATATCTTTAACCTTTCATGGATTCGAATCTCAGCGCCAACAAATTTGTTATTTCATAAAAAATAAAAGTGATATCTCCACGATTGTTTTATCCAACCGTTGTGATATATTTTTTAATTTGTTTAAAATAAATTTAAATGACTAAAACATGGCGCTTTTTTTTATTATAAAATTACACAAAAAATAAACCATAGATCACCATAATTTTTAATCCAACCGTTGTGATATATGTTTCAACTTTTTTAATTTTTAAATGCTTAAAATCTGATTCTTTTTAATAAAATTTTATTAAGTTATCCATATATCACAATGGTCTGTTTATTAGACCGTGGGGGAATGACTTATTCACTTAAAGGAAACACAACTAACTAGCTTGTCTCTTAAGTTGCATTTTTTTCATTTCCATTAATAAAACAACGTCATTTTCAACCCTAACGAAGCAACGCCATTTTCAATCCTAACGAAACAACACAATTTTCAACTCTAACAAAACAAAACTATTTTCAACCCTAATGAAATAACACCATTTTCAACCAACAACACCTTTTCATCCAACTTCGTCGTTCTAGGCTTATGTACCGCCGAGTTGGAAGACGACACCAACTTCATCGTTCTTGGCTTACATACCACCGAGGAGGAAGACAAGGATTATGACAACATATTTTTACTTATTCATCACGTTTCCAGTACGTAAATATTTTTTCCCATGCATATTTGGTAAAACTTCATTTTCCATTTTGTTTTTTGTTTAAGTTGTTGATGAGTAGGCTATCTATGTTTTTCTATAATGATGTGTGATCATAAATACAGCCATTGCTCGTGGTGTTGTGGTTTATGTATTTGTTGTTGTTGTTAATGTCATTATGTCGATGATGCCATTATTATTGATGATTCCATTGTTGTTGATGTCATTGTGTTGATGATACCATTGTGTTGATGATGTCATTGTTGTTAATGATGTCATTGTTGTTAATAATGTCATTGTGTCTTGATGTTGAAATAGCTAGTATACATGCTTGTGTGGTTGATGTTTGTGTTTGTGTTTTGATGTTGAAAACTTGTGTCATTGTGGTTGATGTCATTATTTATTGATGTTCAAATAGCTAGTATACATGCTGAAATTCTGACACTGGTACACAAGATGCTCATACTGATGTTTCCAACATCAGAACATGATGTCCAGACATATGTTATGACATCTGTAGGCAGACTGAATAGCAATATTAAACTGAAATAATATGCAGAATTTAAAGGTAGAATGATAAAGTACACAATCGATTGTTAACCCAGTTTGTTGCAACTCACCTACTCTGGGGGCTACCAAGCCAGGAAAGAAATCCACTATCAGTGGTATTAATTCTAAGCCTAAATAATATCAGTTTACAACTTATCACTTAATCCCTACCCAATGCAACTTCTACCTAGGAACCTCCTAGATATGAGAAATTGTCATCTCACTCCCAATCACCACAGTGAAAAAAGACCTGACCCAATTCCAGTGACAGTCTATAGACATGTTACAATCACATTAACTAGTACAAAGATAAACCCAATAGAAGATTACACTTCAAATACAATACTTGGTTTTACTTAAAAGCTTCATCCAAGAAGAATACTCAACTCATTACCTACAGGTTTATGAGTAAGAACATTATGTCTACCACAATATATCAAAAGATACAAAGGGTGACTTACATCATAAAGAACTTGAGAGACTCTCAAAACCGAAACCCTTACTTTTAACTAAAAAACAAGATCTAATTTTCCCTAGGTTTTGGTCTTCTTTTTATAAGCTTCAACTCTCCATAGGATTCGAATTCCATGCCCAATTATTCCTTGATCCATGCGTTGATTGTTGTAGAAACTATCTCCTTAAATCTTTGAACAAATCTTCAAATATCCTAAATTGTCTCAACAACAAAATTTAGAAACTTTAATATTGTTGGAGATTTAATTCACTTGTTCCAGATTACATCTTTTTGACTTGGGAAATAACTGAGATATATCCAAAAGGAATCTCAAAAAATTAAATCAAATCTTGTCAATAAATACCAAACAATAGTGTTTGTTGTACCAGACTAAGATGTCATGACATTGCCTTTGACATCTGGTTGAAAATCACATAACATTAGACCTGTTATGAAAAACCATGTTTTACCAAAATTTAGCCAATCATAAAACTATGGTACTAACAATCTCCCCCTTTGGCAAATTTTGGCTAAAAACACTCTTAGCAAAAAAATCCAAGAGAGAGGAATAAAACCATAAATAAGGCAAAGCTTTATACAGCTTGATTATCCTCGATTTATTTTCCCCCAGTCACCAGAAATCCAACCAAAAAATCAACAGACTAGAACTAAGGAAAACCCAAATGACCTGCATGAGTTATCCAAGTTCACACATATGAGATTCATTCCCTTAGAACAACACACATGACCTATCCAAGTTCACACATAAACAAAATGTCAAAACATCTGGTTTGACATCTCTACACACCAGAAAACACAACAACAACAGAAGAAGCACGAACAAACAACAGCATGAAAGACCATAAGAGAAAGACACTCTCTTTTTCTTTTACTATTCCCAAGCTTTGACTACTAGAAAATAAAACTCTAGCTGACACAATCTAGGCTAACCATAACCTTAACTTACTGGACAATCAAGTTTACATACCTCTTATGATACTATTGACCCAACAGCAAAATAATTTCCTAAAACACCCTTCAAAATTTCAATTGGACTTGCATCCAAAGTCCGTCTCACAATATCTTCCCAGAGATCCCAAGTTAAGGAGAATACCTTTGCTTGCAGCAAGATAACTGATCTAATTGAGACCAGTATCAATGAGCTTTGTCAAGTCAAATATGCAAACTTGATTACACAGACTGTAACCAACTTTCCATAATATAATGTCATGACATTCTTTTTTTACATTGCTTGCAAAACACTAAAAAGAAATAGTTTCCTTCAGAAGTATACTTATCTTTAGAAAAGACAAGGATACAAACAAAATTTGGTTGATTCAGGAGACAAGATTGCTTCCTAAGGATAGTCATCATTCAATAACACTAACTTCATCAGATTTGTTTTTGAAATCCTTAAGGTGTTAATAGCTTTTTTCCGAAATACATCAAACTTGGATATATATATATATATATATATATATATATATATATATATATATATATATATATATATATATATATATATATATATATATATATATACATAACAAATGGAGATCCCTTCCTGTAACAATTCAGAGCCTTCTGTTCTAGAGTATCAGTGAGATGATGTCCCAACATTAGGTTCAACATCATGTATATATATTAGAGATATGATAGAGATATGATAAGATATAAAGTAGGATAAGGATATGATATGATATAGACATGATAAGACTTATCATATCATGTGTTTGGTTCACACAAGATATCAAATATAATAACATTATATATAAAAATTATTTTCCCCAAATTATTTTGTAAAATATATTAAAATTTATAAATTGATAAAAAATTAATAATTTTCTATAATTTAAAAACAAAATCATTGAAACTACTGAGTAAATAATTTTAGTTTTTCTGGAAAAATATCATGAATTCTATGATATGTTATATAAGCAAAATAAAATTATGTATATATAATATGTAAACATTTTAAGAAAATATATTTAATTTGATAAAAAATAAAATTAGTATTCATATTTTTAAGATTTTAATAATTATTTTATTTTTAAATATTCCAATTTATTAGGTTTTAATTTTTTTTATATTATATAAAGTTAGAAAGTTACCCTTAAGACAATCATACATACTTTTCAAAAAAATATTTATTAAAATTTTTTAATTTAATATTAAATTTATCTTTTATCATATTTAATTTTTTATTTTAAAGTATATTTTATAGGGGTAAAATTGTAAATTATTATCTTATCCTATCCTGCCAGATTCTAACCCAACTCATATTCAGGATAACAATTTGAACTAGTGAGGCAGGATAGAATATGTTTCAGGATTAACTTATCATATTCCGTCGTGTCATCAAACATTGGATTGAGATAGATACATATATCTTATCTTGTCACTTACCTTACGCACCAAATGGACCCTATAGGTTTTACTAACAGAGAAGACAACAGAGATACTTATTTAATACAGTTGGCACAGATAAAGATCTTTGAAGACTTTAAAGATACCTAACTCTGCT